ATATTGTCTCTTGTTGTTGGTATAGTTTCTTATAAGCTATATTTCTTCTAAACAGTAAAGAGTTGGAGCATTTCCAAGTTCTTGCTGAAGCTCAATCTCCAAAGGTGATATCAAATATCTGAGTTGTTCATTTTAGCTTAAATTGGGTATGCTGGTCTTAACTGATAAATCCAAATACAGTTTATGGTAATTGCTTGTGCAGACTCTAGGGTATGCCCCTCTAACATATTAGGATTCCAACCTGGAGATGCCTTTATGATACGTAACATTGCCAATCTTGTACCTCCCATGAAGGTATTACCATAATTGCTACCTTTTTTTCCTTTCCTAACTAATTAATGGAATCTTCAAACCGATGTTAATTTCTATTTTTCTCATCATTTTTCTTTTTTGTTTTCTTATGTTGGATGACAGAATGGACCATCAGAATGTAATGCTGCCCTTCAGTTTGCAGTAACTACTCTTCTGGTATTCACTTATTTATAATGCTGTTGTCTTTGTAATAATCAATCATACTATATGTTAGGATATAGGATGATAGGTTTAGGATAGAGGCCGAACCGGGAGACAACCGAACGGTAACGGGAGACAACCGAACGGTATCAACAGGAGAGACCGAGCGGTAGCGATAACAGGCCGAGCGGTCGAACGGTATCAACAGGATGGACCGAGCGGTTAAAGGGGTAGAGGTTTTTGTTGAATAAGGGAGCGTGTCAGAGCTGCTTTAAATAGAGCTCTTGTATTTCTATAGAGGGGATCAAATATTATTTTTTAAAGTCAGGTTTAGCCTGTACAGAGAGGTTATGCTCTCAACCAGGGAGGTTATGCTCCCATTATTCTTGTAAACTGACAATTCTACTACAGTGAATAAGAGAATTCATTCTTTCATTTCTTTTATCGGCATCGAGTGAGTGTTATTGTTAGGTTCCTAACCCAGGAACCTAACAAATTGGTCCGACCTGCCATTTCGAAAACCTGCCGGATCAAGAAACTGTCGTATCAACAGGAGAGAGGTTGAATATCCTTAGGAGAAGAGTGTCGGAGGATCAAGAAGGGATCAAGGCGTTATCAAGAAATTGTTGGATCAAAATTTGGGTGTAAAGTGAAGATGGAAGGAAGCACAGAAGGACGATTGGAGGCTCTGGAGATTACGATGGAAGGGATGAAGGTGGAATATGCCGCAGTGCTCCGGGACTTGCAAGAACTAATGAGGATGATGGGGGCGTGGGCTCACAACAACAAAGGACAATCAGTCAGGCTTCCGTAAACGGGAACCAACAACAGGCTTCCGTAAACAGGAACCATCGAAGGTGCGAGGAAGATATTAGAGGGAGAGTGGGTAGCGATCACGGGGACAACCGAACCCACGATCACGGCGGCGATCACCAGGAGGTACAAAGTAATTAGAGGAAAAGGGTGGACTTATCCACGTTCGAAGGGCTGGAACCTCTCAGTTGGATCAATTGGGCGGAATGGTTTTTCAATATTCAGAAAGAGGCGGAGGAAGAGAAGGTGGAACTCGCGTACATAAGCATGGAGGGCAACGATGGGTACTGGTTCAAGTTTTGGAAAGAAAAGGCCAAGAATCGTTCTTGGGAAGGCCTTAAAGCAACCATGATTAGCCGGTTTGGAGGCGGATTTCGTGGGACGGTGTTTGAACGACTGGCGACGCTGCGACAGGAGGACACCGTGGAAGATTATGTCCGACAGTTTGAGATATTGGTGGGGCAAGCCCGTGGCATATGGGAGGAGTAGGTGCTGGGATATTTCCTCGCCAGACTGCGCGAGGACATTAAGTAGCAGGTTTGAATTCATGATCCGCAAGAGCTTACAATGGCAATGAGAATCGCGCTCGACGTGGAGAACGCAATGCGCGGAGCGAGAGGGGGAAGTTGGAATGCGACCAAGAATTCACAATCTTGGGAACGAGCGATTGGGGCAGAAACGAGATCAGTCGCCCTGATCCGAGTCGACCAAGCGGGGCAGAAAGCGTACGATCGGTGAGAAGAGAAGAAGTCGCAACGAGTGTGAACACTAGACCGAAAGGTAACGGGGGACCGAACGGTATGGGCGGGAGCGACAACAGAAGCCGAACAGTGAGGAACCTGCCTATCCTGAGTTCCTGAAGAGAAAAGAAGAGGAGCGATGTTTTCGATGTGGAGATCCATTCGCACTCGGTCTTCATTGTCCAGAAAGGAGCCTGCGGGTGGTACTCTTAGCAGAGGATGAAGAAGACGACGAAGAGAGGATGAAGAAGACGATGAAGAGGACGATGAAGAGAGGATGAAGAAGATGATGAAGAGGAGGATTTGCCACCACCCAAGCCTCCTGATCAAGCTTACCTATTTCAACCTTGAGGACAAGGTTGTTTCGGTCGGGGTGTAATATTAGGATATAGGATGATAGGTTTAGGATAGAGGCCGAACGGTAACGGGGGGGACAACCAAACGGTATCAACAGGAGAGACCAAGCGGTAGCGATAACAGGCCAAGCGGCCGAACAGTATCAACAGGATGGACCGAGCGGTTATGGGGGTAGAGGTTTCTGTTGAATAAGGGAGCGTGTCAGAGTTGCTTTAAATAGAGCTCTTGTATTTCTATAGATGGGATCGAATATTATTTTGTAAAGTCAGGTTTAGCCTCTAGAGAGGTTATGCTCTCAACTAGGGAGGTTATGCTCCCGCTATTCTTTGTAAACTGAAAATTCTACTACAGTGAATAAGAGAATTCATTTTTTCATCTCTTTTATCGACATCGAGTGAGTGTTATTGTTAAGTTTCTAACCCAAGTACCTAACACTATACATGCTGTGTCAGAATTCCTAAGCCAAGAATTTCAGAACATGCTGTGTCTAAAAGTGAGAGTTTGATTGAGAAATGTCCCTTTGTGTATGGAAATTTTATTCTATGTTGATTAGCTTATTTGTGGTGGAAGTTCATATCTTAAATAACTGAGGAATTCAAAATGGTTGTTCAAATTTTTAGGTTGAGAATATATTAGTCATTGGTCATAGTAGCTGTGCTGGAATTGAAACATTGATGAATATGCAAGATGATGCAGAATCAAGGTATCTATCTCTAACTACTACTAAATTTTTATTTGACCATTAAACTAGTTCTTTTTGTATCTCTAATTCTCATTAGTGTTCATCCATTCTCAAGAAACTTAATACACAAGTGGGTTGCCAATGGAGAACTTGCCAAACTGAAGACAACAGCTGCCACAGCTCATCTTAGCTTTGATCAGCAATGCAGATTCTGTGAGAAGGTATGCATCATATACTGCATTATGCTTAGACAAATTATGTGAAGTTGCCTCTAAGAACAAATTCTTGAATTTGGTGAAACACAACTACATGTACTTGAATTGAAATAGCTCTTGGCACCAAATAAGCTATAGTTTTCAAAGACTGAAGTGCATTGAACTTTTGGCAGGAATCTATTAACCAATCATTACTGAACTTGCTCAGTTATCCTTGGATAGAAGATAGAGTAAGAAGAGAGTTGCTTTCTCTTCATGGAGGATACTATAATTTCAACAATTGCTCTTTTGAGAAATGGACCCTTGATTTTGAAAGATGCAATGTTAAAGAAGAAGGGATCAATTATGTTGTGAAAGAACAAGATTTCTGGAGCTGACTTTGCTATGCCAAGAAGCTTGAAACATATCATTCATGAGGATGAAGTCAAATTCAATTGCAGTTTACGTTATACAACTCAATAAATCTTATGTTGCTAGAAAATGAATCAAAAACTTTAGATGATTGATGTTTAATGCAGTGTCAGCTTTTCATGTAACAAATCAAAAGAAGAAAAAGTCCCTATCTATATATACCAATGTTTCTCTTCTAAATCTTCTTTTTCAGTTTCATTACCATTAATAAAGCAATTTTATAATTGAATCTTAAATGGGTTCTTATATCAGTTTTCCATTTAAAACATTTTTTAGAGGTTAAAAACAGTTTAACTAGAATAAATTAGTTATAATTTTATAAAAAAAGATAAATCGTTATTTCGATGATATTTAATTTTTGTTCAATTCTTATACATTAGTTTTTAATTTAATCCTGATGCATAACATTATCTTCTACAAGAGTTAAATTAAATAGGCTTAATACCTCTTTTTGTCCCTTTTTACAAGGGAAATGTTCAAGTTCGTCCTACTTTTTTTAAAAAGTTCAATGTAGTCCCAAGTTGTGAAAAAAGTGTCCAATTAAATCCTTTTTTGTCACGGCGTTAAATGTTTAACGATCCAGCTAACACTGTGCAACGTGGCTGTTTATCTTCGTAAGGTGGCAATTGACGTGGCAGTGACAGTGTAAAAAGAAGAGTCAAAAGAAGGAATTTTGGAAAGAAGAAGAGTTCCTGTAAAAAGAAAACCCTAACTCGAAAAACCAATCGTGAGTCAAAAGAAATGCGAGAACAGAAACCCCTGTGCTGCGTAGTCGCTAGAGATGCTACGATCATGACCACTGCGCCCGCGAACCAGAACAGAGAGGATGAGGATCTCCTGCAACGTCAAGCTCGAACAGAGAAAAGAGGGAGAACAAAATTGGGGTTTCCGCAAAGAAGAGGAAGACAAACAAAATTGGGGAAAAAATTCTTCAGATTAGGGTATTGAGATGAATCAGCATTTGGGGTTTAACTAAAGTAATTAGGATTCAATTGGTTTAATTAAATTTCTCACTTAGAATTAGAGAAATAATTAAAATTTATCACTTACAACAGAAATTAACAACCCCAAATTATTTTTAATTAACGTTAACAGGAAATAAAAATTCTTACTTTATATAACAACCCCTAATTAATTTTAATTAACATTAAAAGGAAACCCTAATTCTTACTTTATTTCTAAATACTATTAAAAGGAAACCTAACCACTGATCTATTCCTTCAACATTTTGGAAGAACTGGAAATACAAATTGGGTGATGAAATCTGCAGAGCAAATTGTGCGTTTANGTATTACCATAATTGCTACCTTTTTTTCCTTTCCTAACTAATTAATGGAATCTTCAAACCGATGTTAATTTCTATTTTTCTCATCATTTTTCTTTTTTGTTTTCTTATGTTGGATGACAGAATGGACCATCAGAATGTAATGCTGCCCTTCAGTTTGCAGTAACTACTCTTCTGGTATTCACTTATTTATAATGCTGTTGTCTTTGTAATAATCAATCATACTATATGTTAGGATATAGGATGATAGGTTTAGGATAGAGGCCGAACCGGGAGACAACCGAACGGTAACGGGAGACAACCGAACGGTATCAACAGGAGAGACCGAGCGGTAGCGATAACAGGCCGAGCGGTCGAACGGTATCAACAGGATGGACCGAGCGGTTAAAGGGGTAGAGGTTTTTGTTGAATAAGGGAGCGTGTCAGAGCTGCTTTAAATAGAGCTCTTGTATTTCTATAGAGGGGATCAAATATTATTTTTTAAAGTCAGGTTTAGCCTGTACAGAGAGGTTATGCTCTCAACCAGGGAGGTTATGCTCCCATTATTCTTGTAAACTGACAATTCTACTACAGTGAATAAGAGAATTCATTCTTTCATTTCTTTTATCGGCATCGAGTGAGTGTTATTGTTAGGTTCCTAACCCAGGAACCTAACAAATTGGTCCGACCTGCCATTTCGAAAACCTGCCGGATCAAGAAACTGTCGTATCAACAGGAGAGAGGTTGAATATCCTTAGGAGAAGAGTGTCGGAGGATCAAGAAGGGATCAAGGCGTTATCAAGAAATTGTTGGATCAAAATTTGGGTGTAAAGTGAAGATGGAAGGAAGCACAGAAGGACGATTGGAGGCTCTGGAGATTACGATGGAAGGGATGAAGGTGGAATATGCCGCAGTGCTCCGGGACTTGCAAGAACTAATGAGGATGATGGGGGCGTGGGCTCACAACAACAAAGGACAATCAGTCAGGCTTCCGTAAACGGGAACCAACAACAGGCTTCCGTAAACAGGAACCATCGAAGGTGCGAGGAAGATATTAGAGGGAGAGTGGGTAGCGATCACGGGGACAACCGAACCCACGATCACGGCGGCGATCACCAGGAGGTACAAAGTAATTAGAGGAAAAGGGTGGACTTATCCACGTTCGAAGGGCTGGAACCTCTCAGTTGGATCAATTGGGCGGAATGGTTTTTCAATATTCAGAAAGAGGCGGAGGAAGAGAAGGTGGAACTCGCGTACATAAGCATGGAGGGCAACGATGGGTACTGGTTCAAGTTTTGGAAAGAAAAGGCCAAGAATCGTTCTTGGGAAGGCCTTAAAGCAACCATGATTAGCCGGTTTGGAGGCGGATTTCGTGGGACGGTGTTTGAACGACTGGCGACGCTGCGACAGGAGGACACCGTGGAAGATTATGTCCGACAGTTTGAGATATTGGTGGGGCAAGCCCGTGGCATATGGGAGGAGTAGGTGCTGGGATATTTCCTCGCCAGACTGCGCGAGGACATTAAGTAGCAGGTTTGAATTCATGATCCGCAAGAGCTTACAATGGCAATGAGAATCGCGCTCGACGTGGAGAACGCAATGCGCGGAGCGAGAGGGGGAAGTTGGAATGCGACCAAGAATTCACAATCTTGGGAACGAGCGATTGGGGCAGAAACGAGATCAGTCGCCCTGATCCGAGTCGACCAAGCGGGGCAGAAAGCGTACGATCGGTGAGAAGAGAAGAAGTCGCAACGAGTGTGAACACTAGACCGAAAGGTAACGGGGGACCGAACGGTATGGGCGGGAGCGACAACAGAAGCCGAACAGTGAGGAACCTGCCTATCCTGAGTTCCTGAAGAGAAAAGAAGAGGAGCGATGTTTTCGATGTGGAGATCCATTCGCACTCGGTCTTCATTGTCCAGAAAGGAGCCTGCGGGTGGTACTCTTAGCAGAGGATGAAGAAGACGACGAAGAGAGGATGAAGAAGACGATGAAGAGGACGATGAAGAGAGGATGAAGAAGATGATGAAGAGGAGGATTTGCCACCACCCAAGCCTCCTGATCAAGCTTACCTATTTCAACCTTGAGGACAAGGTTGTTTCGGTCGGGGTGTAATATTAGGATATAGGATGATAGGTTTAGGATAGAGGCCGAACGGTAACGGGGGGGACAACCAAACGGTATCAACAGGAGAGACCAAGCGGTAGCGATAACAGGCCAAGCGGCCGAACAGTATCAACAGGATGGACCGAGCGGTTATGGGGGTAGAGGTTTCTGTTGAATAAGGGAGCGTGTCAGAGTTGCTTTAAATAGAGCTCTTGTATTTCTATAGATGGGATCGAATATTATTTTGTAAAGTCAGGTTTAGCCTCTAGAGAGGTTATGCTCTCAACTAGGGAGGTTATGCTCCCGCTATTCTTTGTAAACTGAAAATTCTACTACAGTGAATAAGAGAATTCATTTTTTCATCTCTTTTATCGACATCGAGTGAGTGTTATTGTTAAGTTTCTAACCCAAGTACCTAACACTATACATGCTGTGTCAGAATTCCTAAGCCAAGAATTTCAGAACATGCTGTGTCTAAAAGTGAGAGTTTGATTGAGAAATGTCCCTTTGTGTATGGAAATTTTATTCTATGTTGATTAGCTTATTTGTGGTGGAAGTTCATATCTTAAATAACTGAGGAATTCAAAATGGTTGTTCAAATTTTTAGGTTGAGAATATATTAGTCATTGGTCATAGTAGCTGTGCTGGAATTGAAACATTGATGAATATGCAAGATGATGCAGAATCAAGGTATCTATCTCTAACTACTACTAAATTTTTATTTGACCATTAAACTAGTTCTTTTTGTATCTCTAATTCTCATTAGTGTTCATCCATTCTCAAGAAACTTAATACACAAGTGGGTTGCCAATGGAGAACTTGCCAAACTGAAGACAACAGCTGCCACAGCTCATCTTAGCTTTGATCAGCAATGCAGATTCTGTGAGAAGGTATGCATCATATACTGCATTATGCTTAGACAAATTATGTGAAGTTGCCTCTAAGAACAAATTCTTGAATTTGGTGAAACACAACTACATGTACTTGAATTGAAATAGCTCTTGGCACCAAATAAGCTATAGTTTTCAAAGACTGAAGTGCATTGAACTTTTGGCAGGAATCTATTAACCAATCATTACTGAACTTGCTCAGTTATCCTTGGATAGAAGATAGAGTAAGAAGAGAGTTGCTTTCTCTTCATGGAGGATACTATAATTTCAACAATTGCTCTTTTGAGAAATGGACCCTTGATTTTGAAAGATGCAATGTTAAAGAAGAAGGGATCAATTATGTTGTGAAAGAACAAGATTTCTGGAGCTGACTTTGCTATGCCAAGAAGCTTGAAACATATCATTCATGAGGATGAAGTCAAATTCAATTGCAGTTTACGTTATACAACTCAATAAATCTTATGTTGCTAGAAAATGAATCAAAAACTTTAGATGATTGATGTTTAATGCAGTGTCAGCTTTTCATGTAACAAATCAAAAGAAGAAAAAGTCCCTATCTATATATACCAATGTTTCTCTTCTAAATCTTCTTTTTCAGTTTCATTACCATTAATAAAGCAATTTTATAATTGAATCTTAAATGGGTTCTTATATCAGTTTTCCATTTAAAACATTTTTTAGAGGTTAAAAACAGTTTAACTAGAATAAATTAGTTATAATTTTATAAAAAAAGATAAATCGTTATTTCGATGATATTTAATTTTTGTTCAATTCTTATACATTAGTTTTTAATTTAATCCTGATGCATAACATTATCTTCTACAAGAGTTAAATTAAATAGGCTTAATACCTCTTTTTGTCCCTTTTTACAAGGGAAATGTTCAAGTTCGTCCTACTTTTTTTAAAAAGTTCAATGTAGTCCCAAGTTGTGAAAAAAGTGTCCAATTAAATCCTTTTTTGTCACGGCGTTAAATGTTTAACGATCCAGCTAACACTGTGCAACGTGGCTGTTTATCTTCGTAAGGTGGCAATTGACGTGGCAGTGACAGTGTAAAAAGAAGAGTCAAAAGAAGGAATTTTGGAAAGAAGAAGAGTTCCTGTAAAAAGAAAACCCTAACTCGAAAAACCAATCGTGAGTCAAAAGAAATGCGAGAACAGAAACCCCTGTGCTGCGTAGTCGCTAGAGATGCTACGATCATGACCACTGCGCCCGCGAACCAGAACAGAGAGGATGAGGATCTCCTGCAACGTCAAGCTCGAACAGAGAAAAGAGGGAGAACAAAATTGGGGTTTCCGCAAAGAAGAGGAAGACAAACAAAATTGGGGAAAAAATTCTTCAGATTAGGGTATTGAGATGAATCAGCATTTGGGGTTTAACTAAAGTAATTAGGATTCAATTGGTTTAATTAAATTTCTCACTTAGAATTAGAGAAATAATTAAAATTTATCACTTACAACAGAAATTAACAACCCCAAATTATTTTTAATTAACGTTAACAGGAAATAAAAATTCTTACTTTATATAACAACCCCTAATTAATTTTAATTAACATTAAAAGGAAACCCTAATTCTTACTTTATTTCTAAATACTATTAAAAGGAAACCTAACCACTGATCTATTCCTTCAACATTTTGGAAGAACTGGAAATACAAATTGGGTGATGAAATCTGCAGAGCAAATTGTGCGTTTACCCTTTTTGAGAGAGAAAAAGGAAGCCCCACACTACTCTATTCTACATTTAATTGTCAAGTTCTTTGTAATTCTTACACCTAACAACAATATACCTGTTTTCAGTGTTTAGAAAGGAAAAACAGAGCCAGCAAAATATGGCCGTGGGAGGATTCTTCATTGATGCTTCTTCAACCAGGGGCTTCGACGGCAAAATTACACTCTCCATTCTCATCACTTGCTCTTCAAACAGTTCTAGTTTTTTAATCACTGCCACTGCCACGTCAACTGCCATGTTAGGAAGGTAAACAGCCACGTTGCACAGATCACTCCACGTTGTCAGCTGGATCGTTAAATATTTAACGCCGTGATCAAAAAGGATTTAATTGGACACTTTTTTCACAACTTGGGACCACATTGAACTTTTTAAAAAAGGTAGGACGAACTTGAACATTTCCCTTATAAAGAGGGACAAAAAGAGGTATTAAGCCAATTAAATATGATTTAGAATACACGTAGTTCATCTAAGGTCACACATAAAACGTTAAAACGTGAAACATCTCCCATATTAAAACGATATTCACTATTAGTGTAGAGATTTCTCATAAAAGTATTAATCATAACAAAATCTAAGTTAATATTTTATATTTTATAATTAGTCAAACTATATAACAAAAATATAAATATATGTGTAAGATTGTCAATTAATGATCAATATTACAATATGGAATATCAACATATTTAATATTATTTAAGAATATTACAATTAAGTCATCTAAAAGTTAATATCCGTAGTGACATATTTTAAGCAAATTTTATTGAATATGTTCATCTTCTTCTACATGTATCATGAAAATCAATTATGTGTGAAAAACAAAGGATTTGTCTTTTGTAAATCTTATTAATCTTGTTTCAGGTATAGAGTGGAGTAATCTCATAAAACACACTTTTACACTTTCACTCTTTAATTTTTCGAGTAATTGTATCCGTCTCTAGTCTAAATTCTTCTTCGTCTGTGCTCCAAATGGTTGGGAGTATGTGCCAAAGGTACTCCAATGCTTAAGTCAGTAAACAGACAAGGGTCAAAGCAAAGTTATAAATTCACAATAATGCGATCACCTATCTTTTACCATTAACATTTATTTATAGGTTTTTCAGATGCACCTAAGATTAGTAGAATGTTAATACCCTAATTGGTACTTACCTATCCAGTTTATCTAGATTGGTGTTTAAATATTTTTCATTTGAAACATAGGTACAATTATAATTATTTTTCTTAAGAATATGAATTGTTTTTTCAATCCAGTAAATATACTTAATATGTAATATTAATGATGCTAAGTATACATTCAATAGTTTCAAGTTTGACTTGTACATATCTTTCAATACGTTATTCTAAACTATCTATATATTAAACTACTTAATAAGTATTTTCTTAGTTAGTATTTGAAACTTAACCTATAATTAAAAATAAATAGATTCTATGATTTCAATTATAATTAAATTTTACATTATCAGACGTTGGATTTATATCCAACTTTTGTAGATCAATTATGAATATCAAATATACTTAAGAAGTGATATAGATATTTAAGTACTTTTTTGTTGAAAGCAGTAGTACAATTATAATTATTTTCTTCAATATGAATTTTTCTTTTAATTGATAAAGGATGAATATACTCAATATCTAATATTAAGGATGTTAAACATACATACCATAATTTCAAGTTGGCTTCTAAATATCTTTATGTTACTGTGAATATATTAAACTACTTATAAGCATTTTCTACAAGAGTTAAATATATAAATATTATGTAATATTGTTTAATAAAAGTTCAATATTATAACATATCAATATCTACATATTTAATATCATTTAAAAATATTACAACCAAATCCAAGAGTCAATATTTTAGTGAAAATATTTTAAAATTTCTGTAAGAATTTTTTTTTTATTAAATATGATTATCTTCTTCTTTTGTTATCATAAACCACTATGAGAGAAAACATAAAAAAGACTAATGCTTTTGTAATTACTTGAAAATTATGAATATCAAAATTACTTGAAAAGTAATATAGATGTTGAAGTTCCATATAGACTAGTGATAAGATCAATTTAGAATATATAAGTGATGCAAACCTCACATTATAAGCCAATTTTGTGAAGTTGAATTAGGCTTAAAGTTCACTACTTAACATAATTTTAAAGTCATGGGTTATAGGTGTTGGGAAAAACGTGACTCACATAAATAATAATACTCTTCAATTCACTCGGGTTATTTTTCATTGAACCTTGGCAACCTTTAAATAGGTGCAAATAGGGCCTTGGACCAAGTACAAATAATAAAAACTAACAATAGAATATCAACTAACTATCTACCTAATCTATCTCTATCTTATATTAATAAAATAAAATAATACTCTCCTAAATAAAAGGAAAATTAAAATCAAATCAAATAAAAGGAAAATAAAATAATACTACCTATATCTATTTTATCTCTATCAAAATCAAATCAATATTACTAAACCCAAAACTAATAAAATAAGATTTTAATGAATCCCTAAAATTTAAGTTTATCCCAACAAACTCCCCCATAAAGTTAAATTCTTCCTTCAGTAGGCTCCCCTTCAGGTGAAACTTTTCCTGAAGCACTTGAACTAGTGGCTAAAAACTCCGCTGTCGGTACGCCTCCAAAACCTGATCAAAGTCTTCAACCATGAGCTTTGATAGGTCCTTCGACTCCTCGACGACGCACACAAAACTCTCGAAATCATCTATCAATGATTTCAAACTCTTCTCCAAAACTCGACTGGCAAGCAGCGACTCTCCATTTCTGCTGAGTTGATCTGCCACTTTCTCTTATAATTTTTAAATTCCCCTTCCAGCGGAAGCATTCCCAACCAACCCCAACTACGAGTAGCCCTTTCCAACCGCCATATCTTAACGGAACTTANCAAGTTGTGAAAAAAGTGTCCAATTAAATCCTTTTTGGTCACGGCGTTAAATATTTAACGCCGTGATCAAAAAGGATTTAATTGGACACTTTTTTCACAACTTGGGACCACATTGAACTTTTTAAAAAAGGTAGGACGAACTTGAACATTTCCCTTATAAAGAGGGACAAAAAGAGGTATTAAGCCAATTAAATATGATTTAGAATACACGTAGTTCATCTAAGGTCACACATAAAACGTTAAAACGTGAAACATCTCCCATATTAAAACGATATTCACTATTAGTGTAGAGATTTCTCATAAAAGTATTAATCATAACAAAATCTAAGTTAATATTTTATATTTTATAATTAGTCAAACTATATAACAAAAATATAAATATATGTGTAAGATTGTCAATTAATGATCAATATTACAATATGGAATATCAACATATTTAATATTATTTAAGAATATTACAATTAAGTCATCTAAAAGTTAATATCCGTAGTGACATATTTTAAGCAAATTTTATTGAATATGTTCATCTTCTTCTACATGTATCATGAAAATCAATTATGTGTGAAAAACAAAGGATTTGTCTTTTGTAAATCTTATTAATCTTGTTTCAGGTATAGAGTGGAGTAATCTCATAAAACACACTTTTACACTTTCACTCTTTAATTTTTCGAGTAATTGTATCCGTCTCTAGTCTAAATTCTTCTTCGTCTGTGCTCCAAATGGTTGGGAGTATGTGCCAAAGGTACTCCAATGCTTAAGTCAGTAAACAGACAAGGGTCAAAGCAAAGTTATAAATTCACAATAATGCGATCACCTATCTTTTACCATTAACATTTATTTATAGGTTTTTCAGATGCACCTAAGATTAGTAGAATGTTAATACCCTAATTGGTACTTACCTATCCAGTTTATCTAGATTGGTGTTTAAATATTTTTCATTTGAAACATAGGTACAATTAT